ACCCCAGCCTCAATAAGGCAGACCAAGGCTACCCTAATCCTAGCCTGTGACGGTGCGTCATAAGGAGCCAGCCACGTAGTAGCCTCAGAGGACAGTGCCACATGCCAGGGTTTGGAATCCAGACCTTTCCGACCCCATCTCCGACCCTGTCCCTGGCAGCATGCACGGTTCCCAGGAACCCCTTGGTTCTAAAGGCCCAGTGTCTGCTGAGCCCTATCGAGCCCAAACCCAAGCGTTGGGGCTGGGTCAACAAGGTCCCTCCCGGTCCATTAGCAGTTGAACGATACTCCTCTGAACTTCGTGCCGCTCTCAGAACAGGGGCTTTTGTTTGGAAACTGGGTCTTTATGGTGCTAATCCAGTTACAACAAAGTCGGGAGAGTGGCCCGAATTCTGACTGGTGTTCTTATAAAACGAAGTTTGGATACAGACACACAAAAAACAATGTAAAGGCAAAGGAAAACCAGGAGAGGCCTCAGAACCTACCCACACCTTGACTTTGGACTTCTAGCCTGCAGACTGAGAAAGGAATCCATTTAAGCTCTTGGTCTCTGATGCTTTGGCCTCCAGCAGTGCCACCCCCAGCACACAGGGGCTCCCCCAAGCCCTCCCAGCGGGCCCACATGGTTTCCCCAAGACCCGGAGCCAGAGGTCGACCCCAACACATCCAGGGCCCCCTGAGGGCCAGAGGGGGGGCTCCTGTGGCCCAGAAACCTCAGCGCCACTGGGCACCCTGGCCTTCTGGGGGTTCGCACCCCACGCACCTGGCGCCAGCTCCTCCCCACGGCTGCCTGGCCCAAGCAGGGACCCTCCCCTCCCAGCTGTCCAGCCTATGGCCCAAGAGCCAGTATAGCCAAAGCAGCTGGGCAGGTGGGGGTGCCCACGTAGTCGTCCCCAAGCCTGTAAAAAGGTGACCTAAATGGCAAAAAAGACTTCGCACGTGATGAAGCGGAGGCTCTGGAGATGGGGAAATCCTCCTGGATTATGTGGGTGGGCTCAGCGTCATCACCAGGCTCCGTGTACCCAAGAGGCAGAGGAGAAGGAAACGTAACAGAAACAGCCATCAATCAGGATTCTCTGATGGCTAGAAGCCACAGGCCAAGGAATGTGGGCGGCTTCTCAAAATTGGAAAAGCCAAGGAAAGGATTCTCTCCTAAAGTCTCTAGGAGCAGAACTCTGCTTGATCCTCGACCCTCAAGGACAGGACACCATGTGTCCTAGAGAGAGGACAAGGTCTCGACTTCGCTAAGAAGGCGGAGCAGCGGGTCTGTCTCCTCCTGGGGACATCTGCCCAGCCAGGCTGGGGACAAAGCTAAACATGGACCTGCTTTCCTCTCTTGTGACCCAATCTGGGACCCGGGGGCCAAACGCAGCTGGACGGCCCCTCTCTGGGCCTCAAATTTTATCATTTGGACTCCCATCCTGTGAACCCATCTCTCCAGGGAGGCAAGGCCTAGGAAGCAAGAGAAAAAGGCCTCTCCCACTCCTCCCCACACAGAGTGCAGAGCAGGGAGGAGGCCCCCAGGCCCAGCCTGGGGATGGCGCCACAGCAACAGGCAGGGTGAGAGCAGGTGGGAGTCCTGGGTGACCACCGGGCAGCAGCACGGATGCCGTCGGC